AATTTTTGTTGTTGTTGTTGTTATTGAAGGACGAAGTATCACTGTGTTGCGCAGACTGGTCTTGAACTCCTGGGATCAAGCGATCCTCCTGCCTTGGCCTCCCAAAGTGAAGGATTACAGGAGTGAGCCACCATACCCAGTCTGAAAGTGATTTTTCAATAGTTTCCCGAGACTTTCATTGTGCCAGGTGAAGCATGTGTATAAGTGTGTTTGTGTGTGTGTGTGGGGGGGTCATAAATCTCTCTAAAAGTCACCTGAGACTGTTGAGCATCCACTTTTTAAATCTTTCTCCTGTGATATCTTTGATGAGTCCCTTTCTAGATTCTTCTCCCTCTCCATCTATGTCTTCTTTTCCTGCTGACCCCCTAATTTTGCTGTGAGATTTTGGTCCTCAACCTTATCTTTCTCTTCTACTCTTTTTCTTGGTGAGTTCATTCATTCCTTTGACTTCCTCTCCTATCCCTATGTAGATGACTCCCCCCCAAAACAAATCGAGTGCTGTTTTATCTCCTGTGTGTCAGACTTGTATCTCCCACTGTCAGTAGGACTTTTATACTTAAACAACTCACATTTAATCACAAATTCAGAATCTCCAGTAGTGACTGTATCATTTTGCCTACCCAAATCTCCTTCTTCTCCCAACAATTCAGTTTCTATCAGTTACAGCCCCATTCTTTCTGACACATAGAAATACAAATGTGATTATAACGGATGCAGCTCTTCCTTCCATCCCTCCTACCTAGTCTGCCATCAATCCCTCCTGCACTTAGATTCACTTAAGTACCATGGTCAACACCCAGCACAGGCCACAGCCCTTGGCACCAATGGCAGCGACAGCCTCCCAGGTTCTTCTTCTCTTTCGGCCCCTTCCACTCTCATTCTTTCTGCCCATCCCCCACTTTGGTGGTCCCCTGACTTCCTACCTCCCAAACTGGGGGTGATTCCCGCTGCTTGGCAATTAAGACATGCACCCCTCTTGCTGTTCTCAACAATGTACCCCGTGACACCCAACCGCCGGCTGCTGTCTCAGTCTGTAATTAATAAAATTCCCAAATCTTTGAGTGCCTTCCATGCGGACCAGGCCTCTCACAGCCCTCGTGTGGCTTGTAGTTTACCAAGCAGATGTGCTCACTGTCTGTGCGTCCCTTTTTGGTTTCTCTCCCTCCCCTCTACCTTTAAAAGTTCAGTTTATTTCAACTCCTGTTCATGGCTGCCTTCAACCTCGTCAACCCATTTCAATGAGTCCCTTCTCCAAATTTCTACTGTTCTTGTTCTGAGAACCCTTTTTGTTGGGAGCCAACATCTATAGCTACATGGCTGAGGTCTGTAAAGGCCCATCTGGAAGATCGCCTCTGACATAGGATATCAGTTATACCTATAATATTGGCGTGTGATTAGTGACCAGTGTGCATACATGGCAGTAAAACTTATAAGTAAATCTCAATACACCTGATGGAAAGTGCCTAGCAGAATTATTTCTCTCTGTCTTTCTAAGTTTTACTTCTTTCTAGATATTTTTTAACTTCTATTTCCTTTTTAGACTGGGTAGTCAGCTTTGGAAAGCTGTTTCCCCTAGGGCTAAGATTAGAAACTAAATTACCATGATAGTTTTGTCCCCCTGCCCCTAGCCAGGCAGAACGTTTTCTTTTGTTTCGTTAAGTACCGAAACTCTGTCTGCTTCAGCCCATGGCCGCCATCTTGGCAGCCCTGCATTTCCTTGTTCAAGAGTGTGACAGCTACTATTTGATTTTTAGAGTAGACTTGTTAGGATAAAATATATACATATACACTCATAGCTGCGTAAATCTATGCTTGCTGTTTTGTTTCCTTTTGCTACATTATTCAAGTGTAATAGTTACTATACGATTTATAAAAGAATTAACGATAAGGTATTAGCTTAATAGGATATAGCATAGTATTAAAGTCCAATAACTAGATCATATAAAAATTAAAGTTTAGACATATGAAACATATGAATTAAAAAGTTTGGTAGTTTAAGAATAAGTTTTAACTGAGTTATAAGGCATTATGTTAAATCGTAATAGGATAATAGTATAACTGACAGTTAAGTCATTTAACTAAACTTATAGATTATAGTATAGTGTTAAGTTGATAATATTAATTGTTAAAAATATTGGGAATCAGTGAACTTGGAATGAACCTAGAGTTAATTCAGGAAAGTTTTTTGTATTAATCAGGGTATAGAGCAAAGAGTATAATATGAATGATTCATTGAACATTATGGAAAACACTTGAACGAT